AATTACTAAATTACAATTCCTCCTCTCTTTCTATACTCTGTGTACACTCTTTATACCTGCCATGTATATCCTTTTATTCTTTCGTATCACACTATATTTGACCATGTCTGATATGTATTGATTATGCTCACATACTCCCCTTCTTCTCGCTCTGTTCTCTCTTTTTATGTGATCATTTCCCTTTCTTGTTGTTTTTGAGTTGCTTATCTGAAATATTCTTTTTGCTTTCTCTCTCTATACTCTCTATAGAGTATAATAAAATTAAATAATGATCATTTTTTCCTGATTCCGTTGTATTGGTCTGTTTACGTTGTATTTATAGACTAATTAGTATATTTACGTTGTAATTAGTCTGTCCCGTTGTATTGGTCTATGCCCGTTGTAACTGTAGACTAATTCTCGGATTCCCGTTGTATTAGTCTAGCCCGTTGTATTGGTCTATTCCCGTTGTAACTGTAGACTAAATTTCTATTTCCCGTTGTAATTAGTCTAGCCCGTTGTATTGGTCTATACCCGTTGTATTCGTAGACTAACTTTCTATTTCCTGTTGTATTGGTCTATAGCCGTTGTAACTGTAGACTAATTTCCCTGTCTCTGTTGTATTCATAGACTAACTCGCTTTATACTCCCTTTATACTCTCTTTATTTTCTTATTCTTTTTATTTTTATTTATTTTTGTTCTCTGTGTGTGTGTATAGAGAGTGTAATACACCTTAGAAATATGAAAGTTGTAATATCTCCTGTCTTTCTATACTCTGTCTATACTCTTCCTGTCTGCCATGTATGTCCCTTTGTTTTCCATTCTCACACTATTCGGGTTATATTTGTTATTTCTGATTTATGCTCACATATCTACCCTTCCTCTCGCTCTATTCTCTTGATTAGTGTGATTATTTCCCTTTCTTGTTATTTTTGAGTTGTCTACTTTGAAATACTCTCTTTTTGTTCTCTCTCTATACTCTCTATAGAGTATAATAAATAAAATTAAATAATGATGATTTTTTATTATTCCCGTTGTATTAGTCTGTCTCTGTTGTAATCATAGACTAAATTTCTATTTCCCGTTGTAATTAGTCTGCCCCGTTGTATTGGTCTGTCTCTGTTGTAATTGTAGACTAACTTTCTATTTCCCGTTGTAATTAGTCTAGCCCGTTGTATTGGTCTGCCCCGTTGTAATCATAGACTAACTTTCTATTTCCCGTTGTAATTAGTCTAGCCCGTTGTATTGGTCTATGCCCGTTGTAGTTGCAGACTAACTTTCTATTTCCCGTTGTAATTAGTCTGCCCCGTTGTATTGGTCTATGCCCGTTGTAGTTGCAGACTAACTTTCTGTTGCCCGTTGTAATCATAGACTAACTCTCTTTTTTATTATTTTATTTTTATTTGTTCTCTCTTATACTCTATAGAGAGTGTAATACCTCTCAAATTATGAAATTTAAAACATCTCCCCTTTTTATATATTCTGTGTACACTCTTTATACCCGTTCTATTTATCCCTTTATTTTTCATTTTCACACTATGTCTGACCGTGTCTGATTATCTGTTGTTTATACTCATGTATTCCTTCTCCTCTCGCTGTGTTCTCTTGATTGGTGTGATTATTTCTCTTTCTTGTTATTTTTGAGTTGTTTATCTGCAAATACTCTTTTTTATATCCTCTCTCTATACACTCTATACACACATAATAAAATAAATAAAATAATGATC